CACACTATTGTTATATATAAAATAGATAACCAACAAGGACCTACTATATAGCACAAGGAGCTATACTTAGTATTTTGTAATAACCTATAAGGAAAAAGAATCTGAAAAAGAATGTGTGTGTGTGTATACACATATATATACATGTTGTTGTTGTTGTTGTTGTTCAGTCACTAAGCTGTGTCTGACTATGTGAGGCCCCATGGATTTTATGTAGCCTCTCAGGCTCCTCTGTCCATGGGATTTCCCAGGCAAGAATATTGGAGTGGGTTGCCATTTCTCTCTCCTGGGGATCTTTCCAACCCAGGGATTGAGCCCATGTCTTCTGCATCGTGGGAAGATTTTTAACCATTTTACCACTGAACTACCTCAGATTTCCCCATATACATACATATATACACATATTTATGACTATATATATACACACACACACACACACACACACACACACACACACACACACACACACACATGAATCAGTGTGCAGTACACCTGAACATAAGACAACACTGTAAATGAACTATGCTTACTTATGTTGAACACACATACACACAGAGTGGACCTAGAGCATCTGAACCAAAAACTACCAGATTCCAGCAACACTGTCTTAGGTTCATGCAGCTTCCAACAGCACAGTCTGTCTGTATCTTGTTTAAAGAGGCCACTTGGATGTCACAATTCTTAATTCAAAGGCATCAGGATAAGTCATTTCACTTTTCCGCACAGGGTGAGCTACAAACGACATATGCGTAGCTGTGTAGGAATAAAGGAATGGAAGAAAATCACTTACATTTGTTGTCCAATACTTTCGAATTCAGTCTCATATGCCAAGTTCTTATGGTAAGCGCAGCCTATACTACTTCAGCCAAATCAGAACACTGTAACTCTCCAACTCAACCAGGAAGTCAGAATTTCATGAGCAATGTGAAATACCATTGTATAATTGTAAATTACAACTATAATCAACCCTGTGGCCCCTGGGCCGTCTTCATCACTAGGCTGTGAACCAAAAGGCTTCAGGGTGAATGGATCTGCAGGAGACAAGCTGCCAGCCATAGGACAAAGGAAACGGGCTCATTCACAGAGAACAGAGGGAAGCAATGTTCGTGGAAAAGAAGGAGGCTTGTTACCCAGCAGTAGAGTTCTAGAAGCATTAGTATTCTCTAACTAGTTTGTTTTAAAATAGGAAAATGAGGAAATTCCCTGGCAGTCTAGAAGTTAGGACTCCATGCTCTCACCGCCAAGGGCCTGAGTTCGATCCTTGGTTGTGGAACTAAGACTCTGAAAGTCACACAGTTAAAAAAAAAAATAAAGAAAAACAAAGTTGGAAACATCTCTTTGATTCCAGTGCCTAAATATGAAAGTGATACATCCCCACAGTTGTTATTTTTTAAAGTTCAATCATCAAAAGGATATAACAGGAATTGCGTTCAAAACATTTTAAAACTGCAAGAAGGGTGCAGACCCATCAGAACAGATTCCAGTCACTGTACAGAGTAGGATCCACTGAAGAGCAGGCTGGATGCACAAAAGAAGAGTCTGGATATCCAGCACCCCAGAATCCCACATGCATACCCCACAGGAAACCCCTGTCCATTTCTTAGGACTTGTTCCAGAAATGTTTTGTGCCTCTATGAGCATATCTGTGTGCCTTGTTGTTGATGTTCAAGTCGCTAAGTTGTGTCTGACTCTTTGCAACCCAGTGGACTGCAGCACGCCAGGCTTCCCTGTCCTTCACTATGTCCAGAGTTTGCTCAAATTCATGTCCACTGAGTCAAGTGTCATTCAATGGATGAGAAAGCTGACTGGGATGGTGGCCATGGTTAGGGGTGAATCCAGAGATGACTAGTCCAACTCATGCATTTCATTGGGGAGAAAATCAAAACTGGAAAGGAGAAAGTGAGCTCCAAAGTCAGATAGGTCAGTGGCAGAAGGAAGAATGGCCCCAACTCCTCTGAAAGGCCCTGGCTATCAGCGGAGCAATAAACTGGACATGAGGCCTTAGCATCTGAGCTAAGAGAATGGATGGGAAACATACCCTGAGGAGTGACTGTCTCTGATACCTGTATAATGTGGGACAGTGAAGGGTGTCTCAGGGTCCTGCTGGGGCCTGATTGACAGGAAACCCAGGTCCTGTTTTCATGGGCATTGCTAGGCCTCTTAGGAACACCAGGGAAGACGACTTTGGAGCACGCTGCTTGGGCCTGATTGAAGTCGTCTCATGGAAGGATGAAGGAAGACATTCAGGATTCCCTAAGAAGGCAGATCATTCACCTGTGATGGTGGGTTCTGGTCAGGGGAAGGAAAGGAACAGTGAAAAGGAGTTCAAGGCAAATGAAGGATTCAAAGGGCAGAGAACAAAGCTGTGTAAGACAAGGATGCAAGGAGAGTTTCAGCAAAGGCTAGAGGACGTGATCACAGATTTAGAAAAAGAAAAGAGCCATGGAGTCCTGGAAGCCAAGAGAGCCAAATTCCTGGAAGGAATAAGGAGACAGTTAGGACAGTTGCTGCAGGGGTTCAAGGCAGGAGAAGACTTTAAAATAACCAGGGGCTCATAGTGTATAGTTAAAATATGGCCCATTGTGGTGACATGACAAACAAGGGATGAAGTCGCAGTGGCCCCACTGCCCTAGTGGGCATCCTGTTTTTTTTCCCTTAAGGCAAGATCCTGTTTTTCCCCTGCTGGTGCCAATTTCTCAAGACTATGTGACCACCCAACTAGGAGACCCCTTCGACTATGTGACCACAAGACCCAGTTGTGGGTTAAAGATGAACTAAGGCCCCCTCCCTTCAGGGCACAATATCCCATCGATAGCATGCAAGAAGGGTTGGCTGTAAAGGGAGGGCACTGGTTTTTCTCTAAAGCCAGTCACTTTCTTTCTTTCTTCCTATAATAAATCTTTTCTCTGCCTGAATGCCCAGATCGCTCTCTTTTTCTCCACACTCACCTTACAGAGGGGACATCCCTGGTGGTTCAGTGGCTAAGACTCTACATTCCCAATGCAGGGGAGCTGGGTTCAATCCCTGGTCAGAGAACTAGATCCTACGTGTGTGTGTGTGTGCGCACGTGCGTGCACATGTGCATGCATATGCACTCAGTCACTCAGTCGTGTCCAACTTTTTGCGACCCCATGGCGTGTAGCCACCAGGCTCCTCTGTCCATGGGATTCTCCAGGCAAGAATCCTGGAGTGGGTTGCCATTCCCTCCTCCAGGGGATCTTCCTGACCCAGGGATCAAACCCGTATCTCCTGCATTGCAGGCAGACTCTTTATTGTCTGAGCCAGAGGGAAGCCCTAGATCCTACATGCTGCAACAAAAATTGAAGATCATGTGTGCTGCAACGAAGACCTGGGGCAGTCAAATAAATAAATTAAAATAACTTGGATGTGACAGTCTAGAAGCCACTGGTGACCTACCTGAGAGTCACTTCAGTAAAGCAGTGACAGCATAAGCCAGATTGCAGTGATTCCAGAGGGAATGGGAAGTGAGAAAACAGGGCCGTTGAGTGCAGACATGTCGGTGGCTGGCAGACTGGTCGGAAAGGGGAAGGTGGGGACGTGGCCTCTGGGGGAACCTAGGAGCAGGGCTCAGAGGACCTTCGCTCCACTTCTGCCTCTGCACAGGCAGTTTACTCATGCTCAAGGCCAGAAGAGAGAGAAAGCAGGAGTCCAGCTTCCTATACCAGCCTCAGCAGAATCATGGTTCCCTAGGGATTTGTATAAATTATCCACAGTGACAGAACTCTGTGCTCATCCTGTTTGCAAGACCTATGCATGAAGTATGATAATAACAACAGTCACCATTTACCGAGAGCTTATTTATGCAGAGCTAAGAGCTTTACATAAATTACCTCATTTAATCCTCACAACAACTCAGTGAGGTAGGCCTTATTATGTTCTCCAGTTTGAAAATGATGAAACCTGAGATGCACAGAGCTTCATCAACCTGCTACAGGGCATCCAGCCAGTAAATGGCAGCATCAGGATTCAAACCCAGGTCTGCCCTCTCCCGGCAATGCTCTGAACCATGAAGCCGGGGTCCATCATGCTGGACTCCAGGAATCACAGGCATCAGTGTCACCTGGGAGCATTTGAAACATGCAAATCCGCAGGTTCCACAGAAGATCTATTGACTCCAAATCTATGAAAGTGGAGCCTAGAATCTGCACTTCTATCCAGCTCCCCCGCACGACTCTCATGCTCACATAAGTCTTCTTTAAAAAAAAAAAAAAAAAGATTTATTTGTTTATTTATTTTTATTTTTGGTTGCACTGGGTTTTCATTGCTGCACTTAGGCTCTCTCTAGTTGCAGAGAGTGGGAGCTACTCTCTTGGTTTGGAACACAGACTCGAGGGTGCATGGGCTTCAGTAGTTGTGGCACCCAGGCTTAGCTGCCTCGAAGCATGTGGAATCTTCCCGAACCAGGTATCCAACCCGTGTCTTCTGCATTGACTGGCTGATTCTTTAACCACTGGACCACCAAGGAAGCCCAAAAATCTTATGTGAAGAATTACATCTCCTTTCTAGTCAACATTCCTATCATTGGTTGTCATCCACATTTGGGATTTACAATCTTCCTCAAGGATAAAGACACCCTGGACTGCTTGTTTGAGACAAACAAATTCTCAGGCCCTAACATGAGCCTATTGAATGAGGATTTCCAGGGGAGAGGAGTGTGGCCATCTGTGTATTTAGCAAGTTTCCCAGGCAATTCCTTTGTTCTGTTATTTGCAGCTGAAAAGTATTATAAGCACCACTCTGGACTCTAAATTAGGTTCTAACACTTAATCATGCTATGATTCCTCTTCCTTGGCTGTAAAATGGGCAGAAGTAGGCCCACCTGGTAGAGTTGTGGTAACAATGAGAAACTGTACCAATTAAGATTAGATTTACCTATTTATAACACAAACAAAGTAATAATGGCTTATACAAAATGAGTTTATTTTCCTCTCCGGTTGAAGTTGGAGCTAAGAAATCCAGAACTGGTATGAGGTCTCTAATCATCAGGGACACAGACTTGCTGTATGTCTTCTGGTATGCCATGTCATTATGTAGCTGCTAAGGCTACAGCCATTTTGTCTATAGTCCCTGAAAGAAGGAAGGGAAAAAGGGATGAACCTGCTAGTCAAGTCAGATACCCTTAAGAAGCATTTCTGGCAGGTCTTCATAACATTCCTGCTTATGCTGCATGACCAGGAATCTTGCAATATTGTCACAGAGCCACACCTAGTTGCAAGGAAGGCTAGGAACTAAAATCCTTTCATTCAGAATCAGGTCTTTGCCACCCCCAAATAAATCAGGCTTCTGCTATATGAAAAGAAAGATAACAAAAACTGGCTGTCACAGAAAATGTTCTTTCTGCTTCAGGGAGCTAAGACACCAGCTCCTGTGCTTTGAAATCCATTGGCCATGCTTCCCAGGTGTTGCCCCAACCGATGGCTGAGTTCAATGGCGTACAAAGTCAGACCCAGTCCTGGGACAAGGGACTCCTTTATTGGCTAACTTTGACTCAAGGAGGCCCTACAGCTTTGCCGAACCTTTGTTAGACTGAATCTTCCTGAAACTGCAGGGCAGTCTGGGACATTTGCCCCACCTTCTCTTCTTCACTTGGGGTCTGATGGCCCTTCTGGCCTTCTCTAGCTCCCACCCAGGTGCTCCTCCCAGTAAAACCCTTGCACAGTTAACTCCAGCTTGGTGTCTGCTTCTTGATGGACCTGGACTAACAAAATTAGCAAGGCAATTCTCAGGCTGTTGCACAGATTTAAATAATGCATGTAGCAGCTGCATAACTCGGGGATGAGCATGTAGTAGACCCTCAATAAATAATGGCTGTGTGGTGATAATGCTGGTCTAGGTGGAGAAGGGTGAAGAAGTGGGGGAGGAGGAAGAGGAGACCTGCTGCTGCTGCTAAGGCGCTTCAGTCGTGTCCAACCCTGTGAGACCCCATAGGCGGCAGCCAGGAGCTAATTATGGAGAAAGGAGGGTTTACAAATTGGTGGGACAAGAATCTGAAGCAAATTACTCTGCTTCAATCTTCTCCACCCCCAGAAAATTTCTATTATAGTACAATCTGGTTAAAATCAGCACCAAACAGACTTCCCTGGTGGCTCAGTGGTTAAGGATCCTCCTTACAACTGGGGGACACAGGTTCAATCCCTGGTCCAAGAAGACCCCACATGCCATGGGGCAACTAAGCCCGTGCATCACAACTACTGGTCCCACAAGCTCTAGAGCCCGTGCTCCACCAAAAGAGAAGCTACCACAATGAAAAGCCTGTGCACCACAACTGGAGAGGAGTCCTGGCTCACCGAAACTAGACAAAGACCTTGAGCAGCACAAAGACCCAGCACAGCCACAAAAAAAAAAAAAAAAATGGTCAGCACCAAAGTCAGTGTGAAACGGACAAAACAGACCCTAGACAGTGGTCATCATAGAGGGACTGAACTGTTATTATTGAGCATCAGCCAATTCAAGTCATTTTTCTACAAAAAAGAGGGGGCGGGGGGGAGAAATAGGGCAGGCCCTAAGACAAAATTATACAAAATAAACCCAATGCCCTGGGCAACTCTGGTTCTCACAGAAAAATTGTGACCAGAATAACCTAAGAGGTCATTCTTCTTATAATGACCTAAGAGGGCTTCCCAGGTGGTGCTAGTGGTAAAGAACCTGCTTGCCAATGCAGCAGACAAGAGACAAGGGTTCAATCCCTGGGTTGAAGAGACCCCCTGGAAGAGGGCATGGCAACCCACTCCAGTATTTTTACCTGGAGAATCTTATGGACAGAGGAGCCTGGCGGGCTACAGTCCATAAGGTCGAAAAGAGTCAGATAGAACTGAAGCAGCTTGGCAAAGCACAGCACAAGGACCTAGGAACACTATTCCAGTGAGAAAGTTTTCAGCATAAAAGTTAAAGCACATGCAAGTCTCTACAAAAATAATAAAGAATTTCAAGGCGATAAGATAGTGAGGAGGGACTTCCCCAGAGGTCCAGCAGTTAAGAATCTGCCTGTCAACGCAGGGGACACAGGTTCGATTCCTGGGCCGGCAAGATTCCACATGCCGCGGAGCAAACTATGGCTGTGCACCACTACTACTACGTCTGAGTTCTAGAGCCCTGGAGCTGCAAAAAGAGAAGCAGCAATGAGAAGCCTGTGCACCACAACTAGAGAGCCGCCCCCGCCCCTGACAACTTGAGAAAAGCCCTCGAACAGCAATGAAGACCCTGCGCAGACAAAAATAAAATTAATTAATTAAAAACAAGTTGGGGGGGGGGGGGAGACAGGGAAAGCACAATGAGGGGGAAAGGTGGATGTAACCTGTATAGGACACAAAAGTTCCAGAGACCTGAATCAACATTGTAAACTCGGCATATGGTAGAACCTCAGTTAATGATGGTTGCCCAGACAACTGAATGGCTCACCCAAGGTTATAGTTCATCATTCATTCATACATCGAAGAAAGATGTGTAGAAATCCTACTATGTGCCAGGCCCTGTGCTATGCCCTGAGAGTGCCACAGTGAACAGGACAGTTGAGGCCCTTGTCTTTACCATCTTCTTGCAGGGAAATCTCCTTTGTAGACATTTTATGTGAGTCCTTCTACCTCTGTCTTTCCACAAACACAGCTTGAATTGGTGCCCATGTCTATCAGATTTGAAGCCTATTCATTTCTCCTAAAATATTTTCATTGTCTCTGAAACCAAGTTGAACCACCCATGTAAAATGATCCATGATGCCACCCTGGGTTTCCATTAAATAACTCTGCATTAGTTATCTACTGCTGTGTAACCAGTTAACCCCCCAAATTATCAGCTTAAAATAACATTAATTTTCTCACAGAGCTAAAGACTGACTTAGCTTGCTGGTCTGACTCTCCCCAAACTCCACCCGAATCCCAGTGGGGGAGAGGGAGTGCGTGCAAATTCCACAGCTTGAAAATACAAAGGCACACAGAAATAAATTCACTCTGTCCTGGAAACCCAGTGTCTGAACCCCAGAGAACTAACTGCCTGTCCTCAACCCTACTTCAGCATCACACTATAGGCCTGCAAAGAAGGACATCACAGAAACATTAGGGGAACCACTGACCAAAACCACCTGCCCTGGCCAGGCACCACTGTAGCAACTTGCATGAGTTATAATACAACAGGAGGTCCTCGTAAAGAATATGGAACTAGCTACCATCAACCAGAAGAATTCAGGAAAGGGCAAAAGGAGAGAGGAGCTGTCAGTCCTAAAGTCCTACCAATACCTCCCAGAATCCTTCTCACTGGAATCCATCTTGGCTAAGTGGTGCAAGCACCATCAGAAAGGACCATGAGTCAGATGATTGACCAGAGACAACCCAAAACTAACCCTGTCACCATAAAACCTGAAACTTCGAGTCACGCGGCAGAGCAGTTCTGGGCTCCCTTAACCTGGTGCTCTCCACCCGGCATCCCTTCCCAATAAAGTCTCTTGCTTTGTCATTACATGTGTCTCCTTGGACAATTCATTTCCAAGTGTTAGACAAGAGCCTACTCTTGGGACCTGGAAGGGGGTTCCCTTTCCTGCAACAGAAACAGCTCCAATTAAGTCATAAATGTTTGTTCCACAGTTAATCAGTGTCTTCTATACCTTAGTCAGTGTCTTCTCTTCTATAACTACTATATTTTTCTCATGTAAAATTCGGGGTTTTATTACCACACGTTTCCCTCTTAGGCTGTGGGGAAGCTCAGAGTCAACCTCATAAACCTCAGCTGGCATCCACCTCCTTGAGCTAATGTCACCCTGAAGTTATCGCTTCTACTTATTCTATATCCCCTCCAATCTTCATTTTACTCTTTTGTGTATTTTGTGCTTTTATAATTCCTCTCAAAGCTTTTGCGAATTGGAGTATAAATACATAAAATTAAAGGTTTGTGTGTCCAAAGGCTGATTACTTGCACGCATGTGCCATCTAGTGGCAAGAATGATAACTGTCAGACTAGAAACCTCCCTGTTTTTTCACGAAGTGCGAAGGGCTGGCAGGCGGGATGGGAGAGGATGGAGACTAGAGCCATTCTCTGTGCTCTGTCAGTGAAGTGAGACTGCTGGGGAGTAAAGAGACTCCAGGCAGGGTAAAAGAAGCAGGTGATTCACTGGCTGGTATCCGACACGGTTTACTTGAATATGAAGAAGCCAAAAAATTGCGAAGATCTAGCAAATGAGGAAGGCACTGGAAGTTGGAAGGGTTAAGTGAAAGGGGTTAGAAAAACTAAACCATGAAAAAAATACCTGATTCAGGCAGAAGATCACTTGAAAGGTACTTAATGTGAGTTGACCGCAAAGGTGACCAGCCATTTTTTAAGAATTCACCTTAACCACAGGAAGAAGCTTAAGAGTCTACAATGTTTTCATTTTACTCAGGAGAAAACTGGGGCCCAGAGACACTGAACACCTTGTCCAAAGTCATTCAGCTTTTCACTCACAGATCCAGGATGACTCCAAATCTAGTCCTCCTTCTCCAGAATGACATGGCCTTTAATCATATGTAGCAGGTACTCATTTGGGCTTTTATTTTGCACACAGGGTCTCAAAATAGAAAATCAGATTCTCACCCCAAATTGCTGGATCCAGCATATTTCCAAGGAATTATTACTCACTGGTTTTGCAGTTGCTCCTTGACACACCCACAAAGGGTCAGGATAGAAGAGATGGTTTATGAAACACTGGTGTCACTAACCTCCACTGGATGGCAAAGGCCATTAGTCCACGATGATGAGGAGGGATCCTAGAAGCCAATCGCAGTAGCTGAGAGAGCTCCAGCCTGGGGAAGAGAAGATAAGTTCATCCATCCACAGTGTTGACCAGCATCTGCTCTGGGCAGGATGCTGAAGTGGCAAGATTGCAAGGCATGGGCCATATCCGGATGCCATATACATTCCATCTGTCTGTACCCTATGTGTGTTCTTGCACATGGCTCGAGCTGCTGACAAAGGAATAGCATAGTTACAGCTAAGGATCTGGAGAGCCCCATGAAGACTTAGCCCAAGGGTCTGAGGTCTGAGGCTGAACTGTTTTTGAAACAGCCTAGAGTCAAGGCCCACCCGGGAAAACTGGAACTACTGTCTGAGCAGAATTTGAGACATTATTTATCAGACAGGGCCTATATAGAAGAATTTAACCATCACAGAGAGTTCTACTAGACAGTACCAGCCCTTTCCTGGATTTTCTGCATCTTGCCAGTTCTTCCAGGCCCTTCAGATACAGACATAAGCAGAGAGTGATATGAGTCACTTGTTTCTGGAAGGGGCAGAACCCCACTGAGTGTGCCGTACCTGATATTGCAGAGGTACAAATGACCCACCAGAGATAGACGGCACTTAAGAAGTCAACTCCTTAAACTTTTCAGAAGTCTATACCAGTAAAAGGTACCAGAATATGGGCATGAAGGAAGTATTAGGGGCCCTCAACTGTTGTTGTTTTTTTAATGTGAACCACTTTTCAAGTCTTTATTGAATTTGTTACAATAGTGCTTCTGCTTTATATTTTGGGGTGTTTTTTGTTTGGGTTTTTTTCTTTGGGGGGGTGTTGGGGGAGGGGGGGGACTCCTTGTTTTGCTTTGGCCGGGTGGCATCTCAGCTCCCCAGACCAGGGATTGAACCCACACCCCCTACATTAGAAAGTGACGTTTTAACCACTGGACCACCAGGGAAGTCCCCTGCCCTCAACTATTAAGTTCAGAAAGATGTAGGTTCCATTCCTCTCAGGTTTGAGACAAGAATCAGAATCAGTTCCAACAGTACTGAGTTCTTACTACACTACAGAACTCAGCTGTGAGGTCTGGTCAAGTCAACAACCTTTACCACCACACCCTCAGTTTTCCCTTCCAATAAGATGAGAACAGTACCCCAGCAAGCTGGGCAGCAGGAACATCCTCCAAGGCAGAAACAAGAAGGCTAGAGGAGGGTCGTGGTCGCCCAGAACAGGGGCAGCTATCCGCTGAGGAAAGTGGGAAGCCTCACGGGCGCCCCCTGAGGGCGGAAAGTCAGTGCCCGCGGAAAGTCCCAACATAAAATAGATCCCCCACACTCCGGACGCCATGACTCTTTGCACCACTTAAAAGTGTCCGATGAGAAGCAAGAGCTGGGGAAATAATATAGGGCCGTCGTCATGTTTCTTTTGAAATAGCCCCCCCCAGCTTCTCAGATCTCTCAAAGATTTGCTTGATCAAAACCTAAGCTTGGAAAAGTCTCAGGACTACACTGTAGAAGGGACATTCCCGCTGGTGATAACCCGGAGGTAGAGGCATTGACGCTCGGGCGCGGCGCCGCCGAGAGGTGGAGGCCCACCTGGTCCCTCCGCTTCCCTCTAGAATTTCCACCGCACCCGCGACCCCCAAGGGCCGGGGAGGCTCGAGCTCCCCCAAGTTGAACTTGGAGGGGCTCGACTTCAAGTTACTGCACTTCCCAGGGCGGCCCGGCGGCGGCTCGCTTCCCCCGCCTCCACAGCACGGGATATTTTCTTTCACACCCGGAGCCCTCGCCCTCCCGGGGCAGAGCCTGCCGAGCCCCACCCCACCCCACCCCACCCCCGCCCCGCAAGGACAGAGAGCGAACTCGGTACCTCACCTCCCCCCCCCCCCCCCCCGTAGGAATAAAGCAGAAAGAAATCAGCGTCGCAAGACCCTCTGGGAAACGTAGTTTCCAAAATATTTCTGGGAAACTGTCGGAGGGAGGCCGCGAGGATTTGGCAGCCAATTAGCGCCGGGCTTGGGGCTTGTCACGTGGCCCGCGTGGTCAGCTGCTCTGGAGTCTGGGCTGGGCTGCGGGAGGGGGCGCCTCGAGCTGTGGGCAGAGCTGCTACGGCCGTCTGGACTTCGGGACTGGCGGCCTTTGCACTCCCCGAGCCTTCCCTGCTGGCCAATGACAGCGCTCATTTGCATATATTTGAACTTGGCTCTAGGGGACCTTTCAGTGTTCATCTCCTACCTTGGCCACTGCAGCTGCCTAACTGAGACACTGGAGTTGCTGCTTCAAAGCTTTTCTGAATAAATCATTCATCAGTGATTGGATGATGAATCAGTTATCGCCTCATCTTTTCTACGCGCTGTTCTCATTCGGCCACTTTTGTCTTCACCCATGACCTTGTCTCCTCGGAAACTTAATTCTCAGGACCCGTTTCTTTCTCATTATCGGGCCCCCTCCCATTTCATTTCTTTCCCTACCCAGCTTAGATCCTGCCCCGCTGTTGCGTGCTTCTGTAACAACCCCAGACGGTCAGTTAATACAATCGCCCGCTTTGGGTTTGCTAGGTGCTCCTGGAGTGGGGAAAAGATACATCACTAACTTCACAGGTTGGTGCCACTGGAATCAAGATCTCAGACGTCATCCAGGGCCTAAACCTAGTGCATTGGGACCGCGCTGGGAGGCCAGAAAAAAACAAGAGGCCGATAATTTGCTGCTGAAACCTCTGGTGGGAGTACAAGGTTTTAGAACGTCTAGATGCTTTGTTGCATCCACCTTGTTTGTCCTATTACAATCTGAGAATGAAGTGTAGAGCAAAGCAACATATTAGTGATGAGAATGTTCTAGAATAGTGCGTTGGTGACACAAAGACACAAAGTCTCCAGCAAATGTTAAGTAACATAAGAAATGAAATGAGAAATGGCAGGAAAGCGTGGCCAAGACGATAAGTTGGTATAAATAAGAAATTTTAAATGAACCCAGAGAGCAAGACAACGTTCTTTGGAAATCATTATGATGGAAAGAGATTACATGTTTCTGATGGAAAAGCAGGCATTGGCCCTGTTTTTGCCAGCCTTCCAGAAAGATTAAAAGATTATACCCAAAAATATTCCCTTGAGAAGTGGCAGGTGTAAGAGGATCCTCAAAATCAGTAATTGGGCTTCAAAAATACAAATTTTAAAAAGGAGTTTTTTTCCTGAGGGGAAGGGAGATCCAAAGCAGGTATGTTTGGATTTATCAGAGCCCCCTACCATGTTGTTTCTTAGAGGCAGAATCCCAAGTAACCTGGGTCCCTGCTGGCACAAAGGCCGTTAAGCAGGCTTTGAAGCCCCAGGTGAAGACCACACACAGCCTGAAACTTCTCAGGACGCCTGCTACCAAAGCCCTGGAGAGAAGATGTGGTTTGGTTTTGTTCTCTTACAATGATTACGTTTTATTAATTTGTATCTTTCCATTCCTCTATAGCATATGGTCCATTTGTTATATAAAAAAAAATCCATGAAATGCTTTAAACCCTATCTAGTGTTTTCACATACTACATGATAATTTGATTAAGAATAGCAGCAAACTTGTCAGTTAACTGGAAAGGATATTGCTTTGAAAGCAACACAATGTATTACACATCTATATATCAACCTTGCCACTTGATTCTAAATTTAAAGACTTGCTGTTTACCAACAAGATATTACAAGTACCTTTACATGTGTCTCTGGGGAAAATGCCTGCAGAAAATAACCACATATTTATATGCAAGGCAAATATCCGGAACCAAACAAAACAAGTGTAGAATCCCAGGCTGGACGTTAATATTTTAGGGGTAAAGCACAAGTTCTCCAATGAACAAGGAAACCTACACAGTGTGGAGTAAGAAATCACACAGGTATCAATTTTCTTAAAGGTAAAGCAACACATCTCAGACTGTCTGTTCAGGAGCGGTTTGGTTGGTTGGTTGATTAGTTGTTTTCAATTCATTATACACCAATACTTTTCTAAGTAAGAGTTTATTTCCAGGAAAAAAAAGGAATTATAATGAATTATAAAATACAAAACACTTTTTAAATGGTTAGAGTCAGCATACATAAAATCACCTTCAAATTGCTATAAAAGTCTCCAAACACTCAGACTCAATTCTGTATTTCATTCATGGAATACCAGATAATCAACCCACCTTGTCCAAGGACTATATTTTTATATAGCACTGAGATAAAGCATCTAAAATGGAGATCTTTCTAAAGTAAATCACTCCCTGGCTCAAAATCTCATTGTTTTCATAGTACTGACTTTTATTGTCAATATATGAATATACCACATTTTATTTACCCACTGTCCTGTTGACAGACATTTGGATTGCTTCCTACTTTTTATTAGTACAAAACAATGCTGCAATGAACATTCTTGTAAATGTTTCCTCATGCACAAGTCCAAGAACCTATGGTATGTACTCATGCCATTCTATGTGATTCATTTACCCATGAGTGAAACTGCTGGGTTGAAGAATGTATGGGTTTTCACTTTTAAATATTGCCTGCTTGGTCTCCAAAGTGCCTGTACCAATTTACACTTAACTTCAGCAGCGTGGAAGAGTTCTCAATTCTCCATTTTATCACAAACATTCAAAATTGTCAGACTTTTTAATTTTCCCAAACTGCTGGATATGAAATGGTACTTCATTATGGCCTAGCTTGCGTTTCCCTAGTTGATAATGAGATTGAACATCTTCTCATACATTTATTAGCCATTTTGGCTTCTTATTCTGTGATTTACCTCTTTATCTTTTGCTCATTTTTCTATTGAATGCTTTTAATTTTTGATGTATAAGTTATTTATACCAATATAGTCTGGATTTGGTCAATGATGTATGTTACAAATATATTTTCCCAGTTTGCAGTTTGTCCTTTCATTTTTTAGTGATGTCTTTTGATATTTGGGCATTTTTAATTTTAATGATGTTACCTTTATCAGCTTTCTTCTTTATGGATTGTGCTTTTTGTCATTTATTAAATCTTTGCTCTAAACAGAGATCGTAAGACATGCTCTCATATTTTCGTCTAAAAGTTTTCTTCCTGCATTCTTGAATTCCTCTTGGATTTTTGTATTTGGTCCAAGAAAGAGTTTCAGTTTTATTATATTCTGCATGTATGAGTAACGAATTACTCATCATCAGTTTGGAAAAATCTGTCCTTTCTCCACTGATCTGCAATGCCACTTTGTCAAAGATATCAGATGTTCATCTATGGCTGTGTTTCTATACTCTGTATTCTGTTCCAGTGGCGTAGCTATCTAACCCTGTTCCAGTGTTAACAATGTCTTAATTATTAATGTCTTAATAAGTTTTGTTGTGAGCTAGGATGAGTCCTCCATCCTCTTCGTCTTTCTCGTGCATGTCTTACATGTTTTTGTACATTAACATTTTCATTTTAGAATCAGCTTGTTGAGTTGCCAAAGAACCATGTCAGGATTTTTATCGTAATTGCGGTAAAATTGGGGAACTGACATCTTCATGACCCTTTCGTTTTTCTGTACGTGTTCATAATGCTTTTCTCTTTATTTAGGTCATCTTTAAGATTTTTCTTTTTAAAATAATTCTTCATAAAGACTAATCATCTTTTGTTAGATTTATTGAAAAGTACCTTACCAATTCTTAATGCCATAAATAACATCTTTTAAAAAATCATATTTTCTAACTCATTGTGTCTGAACTATAGGAAACAATTGAGTCACTTTGCCAAACTCTCATATTATTTCTAATAATCTGTTTGTAAATTATCTTGTCTTTTTCTATGTAGACAATCAGTATTCTTGCTTGGAGAATTCCAGGGACAGAGGAGCCTGGCTGGCTACAGTCTATGGGGTTGCAAAAAGTTGGACACAACTGAGTGACTAACACACACACAGTGTAGACAATCACATAACCTTTCTCTTTATTTAGGTCATCTTTCTTTTTTAAAAATCTTCATAAAGGCTTTAAACAACTTTGGTTAGATTTATTGAAAAGTACCTTACCATTTCTTGATGCCATAAATAACACCTTTTTTAAAATTATATTTTCCACCTCTCTGTATCTGAACTATAGGAAAACAATTGAATCATTTTGCAAAGCTCATGTTATTTCTAACAGTCTGTAAATTGTCTTGTCTTTTTATATGTAAACAGTCATATAACCTGTGAATGATCGAGTGGGAATGATGTGCAGCAGACTGAATATCCACATCCCAGTCCCCTAAACCTGTGAATGTGTTACCTGACATGACAAAATAGGCTTTGTAGATGTCATAAAATTAAGGGTCTTGAGATGGAGAGGTTTCTCTGGATTATCCTGGATGGGCCCAGTGGAGTCACAAGGGTCCTTTTAAGAGG